TTGATTATAAAAATTACATACATACATGAAAAAATTTCACAAGGTATCTCAATTCAAATTTTACGAAGTACTACCCACTCAAGAATATTGTTTATTTTCGTTTTCAGAAAAGGTTATTACAGAGTGTTTATCAATTTTTCTATGATAATTTATCTACAAATTCATTTTTTATCAATGTTGCCTTTATTGCCCCCAGCATGAATTGGGGCCAAGGAGGTTCACCAGAGGAGCAGATTCAGGTTTATGCATTAGGAACGGCGGTTTAGTTTAAAATATATTTTATTCATGATACATAAACTGGATTGAACAGTAGGCATAAATCATTTGGTACATTTATAGAATGAATCGAGAGAGAGAGAGGGAGGGGGGGTTAAAATGAAATAAAATAAAAGACATATTGAAAAAAAAAAATATTATAATGAACATGTTGATTCAGGGTGGGAAAAATTCCCTCTCCAAATAACATGTCTTTGATAAGATATTTTTTCCTAGCATACGAACGGGGATGCAATGACCTGGTAGATGGGAGTCAAGGACGGAGCCCTGGTGGGGGAAGAGGACAAAATTCAAATAGAGCTCCTAAGAATAAGTAAATTGGAACCAAAGAATTTGATGCATTGTATCTTTATAACAATAATGTTTGACAGTGAAAACTCTATATGCTAAAAGATGTAAATCCAGATTAACATATTGGTCAAAAGCTGTAGCTGCAGAGCTTGTACATTCATTATTTTCACAAATCCAACTTATAAAAAGATTTCTGATCTCATCTGGCTTCCATAGATCTGTATACACTTTCACTTTATCAAAATTATTAATTTGTTATAACAAATTACCAATTTGTTATAACAAATTAATAATTTGTTATAACAAATTATTAATTTGTTATAACAAATTATTAATTTGTTATATCAAATTGATAATTTGTTATATCAAATTAGTAATCTGTTATAACAAATTAGTAATCTGTTATAACAAATTAGTAATTTGTTTTAACAAATTAGTAATTTGTTTTAACAAATTGATAATTTGTTATAACAAATTAGTAATTTGTTATAACAAATTAGTAATCTGTTATAACAAATTAGTAATCTGTTATAACAAATTAGTAATTTGTTATAACAAATTAATAAAAGATACTGCTGCGGCCCTAATACGCTTCCGTATCATTAACTATACATTGATACACGAGGACCAATTAAATATCACATAGCCTACAAATACTGGATTACAAGGACATGAATTATTACATCAGTGTATGGATAATGTCAGACCCTACAAATACTGGATTACAAGGACATGAATTATTACATCAGTGTATGGATAATGTCAGACCCTACAAATACTGGATTACAAGGACATGAATTATTACATCAGTGTATGGATAATGTCAGACCCTACAAATACTGGATTACAAGGACATGAATTATTACATCAGTGTGTGGATAATATCAGACCCTAAATACTGGATTTCAAGGACATGAATTATTACATCAGTGTATGGATAATATCAGGCATAAAAAAAATACCAAGACCTTATTTTGTATTCACATATTTTAATTTTTTTTTAAAGAAGATGTTTTTCCGGAACAATAGACAACTGATAAAAACCTTGAATCCAAACCCTGGTATTAAAAATCATCTAAAGCTTTTTTAAAAGTCGAAATCTATATCTTCCAGAAAAAAAAACTGAAAAAGAAGTCAAACAGTCCAATATAAATGTTTCACGTCTGCAGTTTTAGAATTTCAATTCCACAATATTAAACATCGCAAGGATTAATAAAATTTCGATTACAATATACACTATTACAGTATAATAAGACTGTTCTATGAACCTGATGCAAGGATTGTAAGAGGTTTGTCAGCTAGAAATCGAGTTTCATGTTATTTTTCCTATGTGGTATAGTAAAACAATCGTTAAAAACGTACAAGGTTAACATGTTGGAATGGCGTTCTTGGACAGGACCCATTGTGTTACATGAGGAAGTATTTAAATGTAGATTAACACTTATCTTTATTTTGTACTATTGGTCAGTCTACCTCGCATTCACCTGTATCGTAAATATTTATCTATAAATAGAAACATGGGTAAGCCTGCACGCGAATTTATCTATATCTTTTCTAGTCTGTATATGTTACAAACATTGATGTGTAAAATATCGAGCAAATTTCAAGGGTTTATATTCGTTAGTAGCTAAATCAATTTAAGGTAAGTGCACTTTGGAACTTTTAGTAAATGTGTGTCCTTATATTTTATTTGACAGAATTATTTGATGGGAAATTCGGGTTCTCTATTCATTATAATGTTAAGATAACGAAAAGTAATCATGCTAAATAGTCCACAAATTATGAGCAAAACAAACACGAATCCCGGAAAACATTAATACCCGGATCATGTACCGTGAATGAGTATACGAGAATTATTGTGCTTTTATACGAATGGTGAATATTGAAGTTGGTAATGCTTTATCAAACACCTCCTGTAGGAACTACTTTTCACACAGTCCCTTATCTCAATACTTAAAGGTGGTGCATTTTTTTAGATTTCTGTTTGATAGTTCTTATGTTATTAAATAAAGAAGTATAAACACAAGAAAAATATAAACGGGGAACCTTACTGGAATGTAGTCGATAAAGATATGAAATGTGTTTTTACCATACAGAAAAAAAAACACCCTCAGAATGATTTGAACTAACAAAGTTTTTTAGTTGATGACAGCTCGGTCCAGCTACAGCCCAGTACCTACGTACTTCGGTTCTAGCTTGAAAATACGGATATATATTTAATTGCTGTGGTAAAATTTAGAAATTTATTTCAAAATTAAGGATTATCTCCCTCGTGCATACACTGTAACTCTGATTCTTCGAAGTATTTGGCTCTAGTCTTTGGCACCTCTTTTCTCAGCTCTTCAATTTTTTTTCTTTTCACATAAATATTTCCACATGAGCATCACTGAAGAGACATAATTTGTCGAAATGCGCATCTGGTGCATCAAGATTGGTACCGTGAAATATATGAAGATAACGAACAGTATTCAGGCTCAAAAGTCCATCAAACAATACAAAATACCGTATATGATTTACATGAAAGAGGTTAAGATAACGAACCGTGGTTGATCTAAAAAAAAAAAAAAAAAAGCAACTATAAACAATACAAATCAGTGAAAACACAGACCCCGCTGGAATTACAGTAATAGGATCAGGTGCCTAGGAGGAGTAAGTATCCCGTTGACCGGTCACATCCGCCATGAGCCCTATGTATTGATCAGGTAGACGGAACATTCTGTAGTCAAAGTCAGTGTAAAAACAAAGGTCTAACAATTGGTATAAAACAATTCAGCCAAAATCCGACCCAATGATAGGTTATCTTTGCTTACAAGGTCATTATATCGACCATAGAATTTACGAAATGCAGCTGATTTTAAACGAAGTTGTTGAAATTCCTGTAACATCAATTTATCTATCAGTAATCTGCCTTGTTTTTAAAAATGATCATACTCTGATCATGCTCTTGAGTATCGAAAAAGTTGAGAGATGTTAACCCCAAATGCAGGTGATTGCGGGATATTGCAGCATACAAAAAACAAAAAACAAAAGCTGACGATGGAGAATCTGAAGTAATCTCTTTTTCATACAATTTAGTTGTTAGTTGTCCCTATGCTTCTACGTGAATTTCAAGCGTATTAGAAAACTTTCTTTTGACTCTGTTTTTTTTTTTTTTTTTTTTTTTTTTTTTTTTTTTTTTTTTTTTTTTACTTTACATTCTTTTTCTTTTCTTTTTTTATTTACGAAATTTATGATTAGGTGTTTACTTTCAGGAAATTTTAAGAACTTATATAATCTGCACCATTTGAAATTATAAAGAACACTCAAAGCATGCGTATTGTCATCTTTGATAAGTCTTTTGTCATTCTAAGCACTACATTATCTTAGAGAATTCTGGTATAGCCTGTCTGTTCTTGCTTGAACAACATTATCATCTGATATATACTCAATTGTGATTTTTTTTTTTTTTTTTTTTTTTTTTTTTTTTTTTTTTTTTTTTTTGTGAATCTGCAGCTCGTTTTTAGGTAAATCCTACTCTCAAGTTCTAAAGTTTGATCTATAATTTATAGATTGTGATTTATATGTATTTTCAGCATATTCAAGTTTAAAATAAATGTAAAATTATGTGAAACTTTTATGAGAGCCATATGTCAATGAGATTTAGGAATGTTTTTTCCTCAATATTTGTATTTATCTGGGGCTGTCTTACAACAAAACTACACGTACATGCAAAACAATACAATAAAAGCTTTGAGTAACTCACCTTCAAAAAGGGTACAAATTACTAGGACTACTTATTTTTGACACAAAACCAATAATTATCTCTTTATAATGTACATCAATAAAGAAGAAACACCTCGAATTTCCTACTCGGTGTGAGAAAGAACAGATGTATTGCCCACGGCCATACACCTACTTCCACGGCCTTACATCTAGACACACGACCTTACATCTAGACACACGACCTAACATCTAGACACACGACTTTACATCTAGACACACGACCTTACATCTAGACACACGGCCTTACATCTAGACACACGGTTTACATCTAGACACACGGCCTTACATCTAGACACACGACCTTACATCTAGACACACGGCCTTACATTTAGACACACGACCTTACATCTAGACACACGGCCTTACATCTAGACGCACAGCCTTACATCTAGACACACGACCTTACATCTAGACACACGGCCTTACATCTAGACACAAGGTTTACATTTAGACACACGGCCTTACATCTATACACACGGCCTTACATCTAGACACACGACCTTACATCTAGACACAAGGTTTACACATACGACCTTACATCCAGGGTCATGGTCTTCCATTAGTTATCAGGCCGTCTATCTAGAATTTTTTTTCTTCACTGAGAGGAAGCACTTTTTTACCTTTTTTATATTTCAGTTTATGACAGATAAAACATCATGTTAACGTGAGCTATGTTGTCGTCTGAAGCTGAGATTAGAGAGAATGTTAGAACACTCTATGATGACGTCATAAGGACATTTACTTCAGTGGGAAGTCTTCCACACATAATCCGGGAGACCATTAACAAGAACCATGGTGACATATTCGAGAAATTAACCAGAAAAAGGACTGCATTATCTGAGGAGCTTTGCCAGGTGGTCGTTTCTGGTAAGTAACTGTATTTGAAAGAAAAAATTCCGAAACTTACTTCCCCCCCCCCCCCAATAACATACTATTCATAACACAGGCAAATATATTAAGGAAAATCTCGAGAAAAGCCTAAAAAAGGAAATTAGGAAAATTCAAATAAATGGTCATTTCTATTCGTGATATATCATGTTAGTAATTGATATATAATGACATTAAATGACAATGACTCTTCTTGAAAAGAAGTACATATGTTATGATCGATAGATTTCAATGATTTTCATTTTAGGAGAAATATCATCTGGAAAATCATCATTACTGAATTTCATGATCGGCGCAGACGTACTTCCAACTTCGGTTTTAGAAAGCAGAAGTGTTCCTTGCCGCCTGCGATATTCTTTGAAAAAGATTGCAAATTTGATAGACACTTCCGGTCACGTGGTAGAAAGTGTACAGTTTCATGATGACCAGGAAGCACTTGCTAGGCTAAAGAAAATTATAGAAGGAAATTGTGAATATCAGGATCTTTCTTATGTTGACATTTTTCTTAATGAGGATACATTGAAAGTAAGTTTCATTAAGTTTTCATTCATCTGAAGTTAAAAAGCATTAGGTAGTGTTGCATTGAGGATTTTACCTTGTACACTTGGAGTGATTTTAATGTTTTTCTTATGCAATGATAATGTCGGGTTTTTCTTATACAGTAGGCTAATAATTTGGCTTTTCTCTAGAAATGTCAAGGAATATTCGAATGTTCATTCAATTAGTTGATATTTAAGCAATGAACTATTACTTTTTGAGAGGTGTAGTCTCGATCATAAAAGCAAGGGTGCATGGCTGGACGGGGAATCTAACTCGGGACGCCTGTATCACTTTTCAGGTGCTCTACCAACTGAATTATTCAGGTCAATATCAATGACCCAACCATTTCACATGTATCAAAATGAGCATAAAATACACAAAATGACCCAGAGACCTCTCATGCTGACATTTCAAATAATTATTTCATTACCAGCCTGATATTAAAGATTGTAGAAGATTGTTGAAGAAGAATTTGTTGTTTGAAAAAATGTTTTTTCTGTAAAGAAAAGAAAAAAATAATCAACCCAAATTGAAACTTAAAAATCTCATTTTCAACCCCCACTAGGCCCCTAGTTTTAAAATAAAGATTCTTAAACCTTATTGCACATCTGCAGGAAACCTTCATTCATCTTGCAAAAGATGACTTGGCTACTGTGTAAAAATGCATGAGGAGTTCTGAGAACCAAGGTGAAATGAAAATGTCATTTTCGACTCCATTTTGCCCCCGGGTGAAGATGAAATTCTGAAACCTTATTGCACATCTACAGGACGCCACCAATCGTCTTGCAAAAGATGATATGGCTACTAAGTTAAATGTAAGAGGAGTTCTGGGAACCAGGTTACTGTTGATAAAAGAACGATATTTTTCATCTCTCTCTCTCTCTCTCTCTCTCTCTCTCTCTCTCTCTCTCTCTCTCTCTCTTCAACTCTCATCTGGTCCCCAAGATGAAAATAAAAAACTCATAATCCTCACGCACATCTGCAGGACACAACCTTCATATACCACAAGATGGATTGCCAACTGCTAAAATTGTAAGAGGAATTACAGTAATAAGAAAGCGTGACAGAAGGAAGGACTAGGATAACAATATTATACCCGAACTTTCTTTAGAATTTATTTATTTTATTGAATATTTGAATATTCCTATCGAATACTCAAATATGAATTATTGATATTTTTGACATTCCTATCTAAAGCATTCGATTGTCATTGTGTTTTTCTTATGCATATTATTAGGGAAATGTGGTATTGGTCGACACACCGGGGATAAAAGAAGAGGTCGACGAAGATAACACACAACTGTTTTATCATCTTCGGAAAGCCTCTGCATTTGTCTATATCATCAAGACAGACAGCGCTGGGGGTACACACAAGGTAAATAATTATTAAAAAAAATTGTATCGTCTTAATTTTCTTCTTCATCTTCGATTAGAAAATGGAAGTGAAGAGCCAATTATGGTATATGTAGTTATCTGCCTCAAGACATGACATTGTACAAATTTTCCAGTTGTTTTGTCTTAAGAATACATTATAATTAAACAACTAAACATCTTGTGAACAAATGGCTTTATTAGTCCCCTACCGGTGAAACCGGAGGGGACTATAGGTTTCCTCTGAGTCTGTCCGTCCGTCTGTCTGTCTGTCTGTCTGTCCCTCTGTCTGTCTGTCAGTCTGTCCCACTTGGTTTTCCGCACTTTTTTTCCTAAACGCTTGCAGATATTGAGCTGATTTTTGGTATGTGAGTGTATCTTGATGAGATACAGATCAAGTTTGCATTTCGTTCCGCTTCATTGATTTTTGAAGGAATTATGGCATTTTCAATTTTTAACGGGAACCAGATTACACTTGCCGGTAGGGGACTAGTATTGCTAGTGCAATACTCTCAGAATGCTTGTTTAGAATGCTATAGACACAATTTTAGGAATAAAACATTATATGAGCTGATTCTTAATATCATCAACAAGTTATACATAGGAACATATTTTTTCATAACATATTTTTAGATATTTTCCTTACATTATATTTACGAATGTACATGAAGGTAATACAATTAATATTCCACAAAAAAAAAACCAGAAAATTAAAGTTAAATTTTACAAAGGTAGTTTATAAAGATGGTAAAATTTGTTCTTATATCTTATCAATGATTGTAGCTATTCAAGATAAGAAAAAGAGTAAAAGAACTGAAGGTAGAAGGAGAAACAGAACTAAATCCAGACTGCATTTTATACGTGTGTAACAAATGGGATCAGGTGGACGACTGCGAGGATACAAGGGTGTTTGAGGAAATTCGGTCTAGATTAAGAAGACATGGAATCGAGGTCAAAGAAGATCAGTTGCTAAAACTTAGTGTCAGAAAGGTGATTCAAGAACAAATTGTTCTTTATTATAACATATTTAGTGAAAGTGAAAGAAACATCAAAGTATGCACCCTGATCGAAACTTACGTTGAGGTCTACGAACTTGCTGTTTTTCCCCTCAAAAACAGTTTTTGTTTCATTTATGCTGTTTTTATGTGTCTGTCTTTAAACAGGAGAGGAAAAAACGACAGAAAGGAAAGCCCCCTTCTGAGCAGTATAACAAGTTCATTGACAAACTTCGACGTTTGATCAACTTAGCAGTAAAAGATAGATATCTTTCAGAGTGTCAGTAAGTGCTAGGCAATGCCAAATTAGGGTAAAGGGAATAAAATGTTTGGTTACTGTTAATTAAGAGAAAAAAGGGGTTTTAATTATTTGTAAATCATCAGGTAAAGAGAAGAGCTTCTGATATATAATAAATAACTAGATTATAATTAGATAATTTAGAGGTAAGATCCTGTTATTTATAAATTATCAGTAAGAGGATAAGAAATTCTCTTATTATTACAAATATGGGAATAATTTATACAGATATAGATATAACCATTAAAATGTCTTTCTTTGTTGTAACGATTGCGACATTGCAGAAAAAAACATAGCCCGTGTTTTTTGTAGTTTACTTATATCGTGCATGTGAATAAGTGATAAAAAGCAACTCGAAAAGTGATACAGTATTAATACCAGTAAAATATATACGTTTAGTTTACAGTACATTCCTGAAAATAAGGAATCGGTTTAAATCAAAAGATATTCTTCTCTGTTCTGACATTTTTTTCTGCAATGTTTGGGAAGAAATGCAACAGTAGAGTATTTTACATTGTAAACCGTAATACCAGTAACTTTCCTTTTTATTTTTTGTACAGAAAAAGTTATTCAAAGATTACAGATTAGAGTATTACTCAATAAAACAAAAATATATACGGAGTTTGGCACAAAATAACTTTAAACTTCCCTTGATATTGTTGGTTCCAATAATGTTTGTTTGCTTTAGAGTATTACTTTTGCCACTTCAGTGCTTTTGGGTATTACTTTTGCTATTTTAGATGGCTAGAAAGAACACTAAAAGAAATTCTTTCCATACTGGACGTTTATCATGGAAATATGTCAAAAACTTTGGAAGAGAGAATTAAAACTAAAACAGAATTTGAAGACAAAATGTCTTCTCTGAAAGAGCTTGTAGAGAAGGTAGGAACTGTATTTCAAGTATTTTGGTTAAAGATGCTATTTTTGTTTAAATTATCCTCTCAACAAATACATGTACTAGCATAAAAAATATAATTTGGACTTTTCAAATCTAAGTCTGTTGAAAGAAAATATTTGAAACGAATTGATGATTTGATATTTACATTTCCAATGTCTTTCTCTGTGAAAAAATTACGAATAAGGTAATGGCTCTATAATCCCATAAAGCGATTTGCTCAGCACGTGACAGAACTGCATGCTTTTTCGCTGCGTGTTGCTTAGTAATACACCTGGCGGGGATGTTGAGATTTATTATTGAATTTTTTTTATTGAACCAAGGATCGGATAAAAATGTAAATATAAGGTATTACTGTCTAATTTTTTTTTTTTTTTTTTTTTTTTTTTTTTGTATGATGATGATCAATCAATTTTCTCGCGTGATAATTTTACGCATAAACGTCTTCGGGGTTTATGCAAATTATCACGCGAGCAAATTGATCACATCATAAAACCAAAAAACTAGACAGTTATTCCTTAAATAATATCAACGCTCAATCAAGCTGACGCGTGTGATTGTAAAAAACAAGCTGTATACTATGTATAAATGAGGGTACGATATCTTACTACTGAAGCTTTTCAAAAATACACGGGGGGGTTTATTTTCGCGTAATTTTACTTTTCTTCTCATAATGCTAAAATACATGTGAAATGGCTTCATCGGCGTTTCATTTGTGAATTCATGTTCTCTTGATGTAACGTTTATGAGTCATTTCGTGGTTTTTAAGTAATTGTGTATGATAAAGAATCAACCCTATCAACTACCATGACCCGGGAACTAAATTGTCAGGAGCTCAGCAAACATTCCTGTTTTTAATTTTCATTCACTTTGTATACTTTTTTACCAATTGTATGACGAAATGAATGATTAGTATCTATGTGAAAATCCTAGATGTGATGGACAAGATTCGAACTCGCAGTCTTTCACAAAGCTACTTTGACGTACTCACCATGGCCTTTTGCTACTTTGTTTTACAAACGTATAAAATTATCATTCAAAAATAATAATAATACGGTAAGCACTGAAAACTTACGACTTTTCAGAGCAGGTTGTGAATTTTTAATTGTTGAAGTGAAAATTTGAAGGCTAAATGTGACATATTAAATATATAAAAGCTGATTCAGCAACTAAATTTTATCATTCTATTTACACCAAATTAATATCTTTCTTTCAAATTTCGGGGGTTAAATTAGGTACTCTTATTATAGGATGTTTTTTTTTCATTTCAGCCCAAAATAAAGTACTGCAGGGATGTCATTGAAATATACAGAAGTTTATCTTTAAAATTACACAAACATTTACGGGCAGAGAACACATGCTCTAAAATTATAAAGGAATGCAAAGCAGAAATACAGCGGAAAATGGCAGTTTTTAAGCCCAGAACATATGAAAACGTGATCAACTTTTCAGTAAATTTACTACAGGAAATAATAAATGAAGAAATAACTGAATGGCGCGAAAAGAATGATGTTGAGAACGCTTGCGCAAAAGTAAAATTAAAGGTACTTGGCAGTTTCCGGTCACTTGAACGGAACATTGAACAGGAATTAACAGACTCTGGTGAAAGTGTGTGTTCTTCAAAATCTGCAGCGTCTTGGGGAAGTGCGCAAGCGCCAATCACAGCCACTGACAGCCAATCATTAAATATGGAAGAAGAAGAGGAGAATCGACTCTTCACGAAAGGTAAAGAGAAGAGAGACTCCGAAAATAGAATAAAACTTCATTCGATTGATTCCAATCAACTTACAATTCAGTGATATAAAATGCTCTTCTACGTTTGTTTTAAAGTGCTGATTTCCCACATTTTAATGCATTATCAGCCCATTCCACTGAAGGTCTTTTTTCTTTAAGAAAAATTTTGAATCCACTAAAGATGGACTTAAATAATATCTTCAATCTAAAATTTTAAATAACGAATAATTTTTCTTAGTATAACAGAGATATGTCTAACAAAGTGTTTTAATTATAAGACCGGTACCAAATCCATCAGTTTATCAAATTTCACACTGCATGAGGAAGAATAGTTTTGCACGTGCATATCATTGCTTCAAACTAAACTTTGTTATTAAAGGAAAATATTAATTTGAAATTATGAAGAAAGAATAAAAATAGTAAAAAAAAAAAAAAAAAAAAAAAAAGACGTGTTTTACTGTAAAACTAAGTGTCGCATCGTGCGTTCTTTTTAGTTTATCCAGGGACAAGCAACTTTCGCTAGTATCGTCGGATTTCGTTAGTCAGTTTTAACAATGATACATTTCTAATGCTATGAAATATTTGTAAACAGAACCTCTTTTATCTCTCAAAAAATATATAAGATTTGTTGTAAGCTGTGTTTATACGTTTTATCTTAGTATAATTACGTTGTATATTTAAAATCAACACATCCCCTCTTTGGCCGTATTTCCGAGAATTCGCCGAATTTCGTGGTTGTGTGCTTTATATTTAAATTATTTTACTACGTCTGCTTCAAAATTTGTTAAAAAATCCATTCCAATGAACAGATTATATTTATCAGAAAACAAACTTTTACTGGGAATACACGTAGTTTAAAAAAACATATTGTTGTGTGTGACGTTTTAGGAAAATAAAGTCTGCGCTGAAGATGTTGCCAATCCCATTAATATGTACATGTACGTCCCTGGTTTTTCATTTTAAATATATAAAAATTGCAGGTAACCAATATGAAAAAAAATTTTAAAAAGTTGTTTGACATTTTTTATTCTTCAAAATATACTCTAATAGGAACATAGGTATTAAATAAGCTAATATGTGCAAAATCGAGGAAGTCTAACTTCTAAGTCGTTTTAAACAATAAAATGCTTTCTTTGGTTGTTAGTACGGGAATTAATGTCGCGGCTATTGTAGAAAAAAATTCACATAACCCGCTTACGCGGGTTATGTATTTTTTCTGCAACAGCTGCGACATTAATTCCCGTACTAACAAACAAAGAAAGACATTTTATTGTTTATATTTATATCTTTATTAAAAAAACATTCAAAGTAAATTAAATATGTTAAATATTGTATTATAGATGTGTATGTAACTATATGCATAATTGATGGAACAGCCGTTGCTTAAGAAATCTATGCAGGTGACTTAGTTAGTGCTGTTTACCCGCTGATTAACGGCAATGGTTTTTATAAGAAATAAAGGAAATAATATTCAGTGGATGTAAATGTATTCAGTTAAGTATTTGGCATACCTGATTTTGATTAGTTTGGGTTTTTTACGTCCATTGCGAGCTTTTTTCATTCAAATGATACGTCACTAAATACCAGTGAAAGGCTTTAGACTCATGGACATTGAGCACTGAGGGGTCTTTATCATGCCAAAGCCTACCGTAACACGGGACCTATATTTATGTTCCGCCCGAAAGACCCGCGACTCTCACTCACTGACATCGTGCGCTTGGAGATAGAACATGCATTAACTATGCTTTACGTCTTAATTTTGAGGCGGCGCCAGGAAAGAGAACCGATCCAAATGTTAAGAAAAGAAACTTCATCTAGTAAATTCATTTGTGTTCGTTTCATTTTCGATGATATTTTTATATTTCCTATCAAATATTTATTACCTGTGTAGTTTCTTTTCATACAAGAAAAGGCCTTTTTTGATGCAAGTGTGTTCTGTACCAGATTTGTATTAACATGTATTTATTTGGATATTAATATTAGATCCTATTTTCTTACTAGGTGAGAAAATTGGTATAGCGCTGTCCATCCCTCTGTGGTTCCCTGTGGCGATTACCGCAAGTTTGTTTGTGGTTCCTGTTGGTATAATAAAAGTTCTGTCAAACAAACTCAGCAATAGGAACGCCATCACTCAATTCCGAGAAAATATAACTGAATGCCTAATGGATATCCTCAATAAATTATATGACTTAGATATCTTCACAACTGACAGGTTTTTTGAAGAATTTGACAGAAACCAAATCCATGTGTTTAATCAATGGATAGATTTACAACAAAAAGCATTTTGTAAAGAGATAGATAGTATATCAGCAGTGCTACAAAAACTGGTCGGGGAAGTGACAATACATACCGATGAAAACATTGCAATTGAACTTTTCTTAAAGCAAGTGAGAAAATTTCAAAATGAGTGTTGTACTATTGCGTGTAAGAACAACGACGATAGGTGTATATCTCACCAAAAACAAACGAGTCCAAGTAAATAGGATTGTTCGTTAATGTTTAAATCTTTAGGGAAGTGAGGAAAAGAAAACTTGTTGTTTGATAATATTGGATTCTATAACGGAGTGAGGAAATAAAAAAAAATGATAATACTTTTCTGGATTTTATTTCAATTAGTATAACTGAAAGTATGTACCAATCTCAACAAGAGGTTCTTCCGTTTCCTTTTCTGCATGCCAGCTTTATTTTGAAATATTGGAGATTTTGCATTTATTTATATCTCTGATAAACCTTATTTGTATTTCAGTGTATTGGAGAAGTAGACTTGTTCATAGTTGTTTGGATTTTTGTGTGCATTTCTGATCTACTTATGTTCAAATGTTGTGAAGGAGTAGAGATACACTTACGCTTCAGGATCACTTCCGTTGAAAAGATTACTTATACGTTTTTAATGATTCTCATATATGTTTCCTCCTGTGTTTACAACGAGGTGTATAACATTTTAGTACTGCAAGCACATGATCTATTAATGACACAAACATGTTAACTGTTTCAAGCACTGTGAAAGTGTGTTAAATAGATTCTGCTGAACTGCTCACAAGTAATGATTGATATATTATATGTTGTTTTACGTCCGTCCCATTCAAAAATTTTTCAAAGATGTCACCAAATACCGGTGAAGGGCTTCAAATTTAGACCTATACTCGGCACTTAGGGCTATAGACAAGTGAGGGTTTTTAATCCTACCATGACACGGGGCCTTGGTTTTTTTTTTGTTTTTTGTTTTTTTTTTTTTTGGTCTCATCCGAAAGACCTGTGACTTTCCTTTTAGTGCCGGTGTAACGACGAAAAGTGACCCCCGTAGAATATTGACCGGGGGGTCAAATTTCTCCGTAGAAAAATGACCCCCCGGTCAATTTCCTACGGCAAGTAGGGTCATTTTTCGACAGTAGAAAACCCTTCCAGGCCGGTAATTCTACGACTCCACACACGTTGAAAAATGACCCCCATAGAAATCTGACCCCCTACTTTTTCACTATATTTAATAATTAAACCTTTAGAAATGAGGTGTGATATGCGTTAATCCGATGATGGGGAGGGTCGGTGAAGGCCTAGAGTCTCCTGATTTTTTTCCTTCAAATGTATATTGGGGGAGGAGCAAAGTATCTTCCCTTCCTTAACGCCACTTCTCAATACAAGCATGGTATACAATGTACGTGGTGTGGTTTTTTTTTTTTTTTTGCTTGCATCCCATTGAGTAAACATTAATGAGGAACATAAATTCATAATTCATATATACAGCAAAACTCGTTTAGTACGAACACGGATATTGCGAATTCACGGATATAACGAAGTTTTCTTGGATCCCCAGCTAAATAAATTTAATGAACTCCTTGTACGGATATAACGAATTACGGATATAGCGAAGTAATTTCACAGGTCCCCAGGACTTTGCTATAACCGAGTTTTACTGTATATGTTTCTGACAACGATATACCTGTATGGAATGGATGTCATCGGAAACTATTTAAAGGACAAGTTTGTGGCCCCATACTTCTAACTTAAAATTTGTGCCCGCTTTCAACCTGCATCCACCCCAGCTTCTACATGTACAATGTTTCAGTTTCTGGATACACCATTGCATTGAAACAAAAAACGTATTGTATTATTATTTTTAGACAAGAAAAAAATTATAGAAAAAAAGGCATATGAATCGTCAAATAGCGTCCAATATGGAGATGCTATCATTAAATGTAATTACTGCTTCATTTTTAATATCATGTAATATCTTTTTCCCTCTTTTAGGTTTATTTATCCTTATTTATTACATGAATATTAATACCCCCGCTTCAAAGGAAATGGGGGTATATACTAGGGCTGTGTATTGAGCAAAAAATTTCGATACAATACGATACGATATTTTATAAAGCGATATGCGATATATTGGATTCTTGAACAAGTCTATCAAAAATGTTTTGTAAATCATTTAATACATACATTGTATAAAAACTGAGTGTTTTATAACCCATTTCTAAGTTCTTGTCTCGCTGTCATTACAAAATACACTTCAAATTCAAACTTTTTAACGACTGTAAAACCAACATGTGAAAATATAATACATATTCTGTAATACTTATTTATTATGTGCTATCTCCTTAATGTTTATATCATTATTGATCAGTTTTAATTAAAAACAGTTAAATATCGATATAATCTTTGGTGATTGAAATTCCCAACTTTTTCACAGAATTATAAGAAAAACTGCCTGCACGATATGCATTGGAAGTTATTTTTTCCATACAATACATTCTTGAATATCAATACGTATCGATATACCGATATATTGATACAGCCCTAGTATATACTTTGTACCCTGCGAATCTTTCTGTTGTGTGTGCGGGGTGAGTGTCTGTGTCTGTCTGTCCGAAACATTTTTTTTCTTTGCCGTTTTCTCTGCAACAACTCATCGCAGATGCTTAAATTTTAATACACTCTTTAGTTCGGCATGCCATAATGTGATATTCATTTTGGTACAAATCTTGTCCGTCTGTCTGTGCGGGTGGGGTATCACTAGAGAGCGCTGCCTCATAGATTTCTTGTTTCCCCTGTAATTACTTTCAATTATTGTCTGTAACATTATATTAACTCTATTGTAGGAAAAAAAAAACGAATGTATCTAAATAACGTTAACTATCAAACACTATATATATTGTTTGTATCAGGATCGCTATATGAAAAACACTGATAGTCTCTAACAAATATATATATATATATATATATATATATATATATATATATATATATATATATATATATATATATATATATATATATATATATATATATATATATATATATATATATATATAGCTTGCCAGAGTTTAATGCAGTATCGAAGTTCTTACTGTCGTAAATCAAAGTATTTTTATATATGATTGTGATATTTTATGTTCTTAAATTTATATGTGCACATTTTTTATATTTTAGGGAACTACGAAGGGTGATCAAAAAGTTCGTGAACTATCTCGTTATTTACAAAACCACAGTTCAGATCAAAATAAAATTTGGCACACATTTAGTCATAAACATGTTCTATAAATAGCAGATATTTGCTCCACGTTTGGACGTCACAATATAAAATGACTCAATATGTAGTTGACGTGACAAAAAAGTGATTGACTCAGTCGTACTTGAGCAACGAACGGCTTTAAAGTTTAACTTTTATCTTAGAAATTCCTTTTCAGTAGCTTATAATAATTTGTACACGATTTATGAAGACAAAAAGACATGACAGAAGTTCAATCATTAATTGGATTGATTGTTTTAGTGAAGGAAGGGAGATGGTTAAAATGATGTTTGTTCTGGTGCCCAGTGAAAGCAAGCTTGGGAAGAGATGTGTCCTTAGTTGAGCAATCTGTAATGAAAGATCGCCAAATTACAGTTAGAAAAATAGTTGAATATCTTAGCAATAATATAATTATTGATTCCCTAAAATATCGTTTACTTTAGATTTTAAACATATCATATATGATAAAAAGAAGGCGCCCATACTTTATCCACAATGGATAAACGACGCGCCCTGTTCAATACAAAAGAGTCGGGTTGTGCTGGTCACTATGCTCATTCTGGGAGAAGATATCCTAATCCACCAATCCTATTTGTGACAAATGGGCTATTCTTGTTATAAAAAATATCTTGCATGGTAAGAAATATAAGACTCGGAAAAATCTTAATTTCTGTGAACGGAACGCTAAGGAGCATGTCACGTGAACGCCTAGATCACGTAACTCGCGCATGGGCAGAACGATGGCAGATGTGCATTCAAATCGGAGAGGACCACTTCAAAAAATAATAAACATTGAAATCTGATTTTATTTCTTTTAGGGAAGTAATTCAATTAGTTCCCGAACTTTTTGATTACCCCTCGTAATTCTTGTTCATTAACATATCATCGCAAAATTTTACATTACTGATATCAATTTAAGAAAGTTTAAGCTTTGAAATCTCAAAAAAGTTCCAAACAAAGTTTCAAAGTTAAAGTATCAAAGTATTTACTATAGTTAATAATAGTAAACTATAGTTAACTATAGTTTACAACAGTAAATTTTTGTTAGGAGTGCTCTTCGATTGTGATAGAAATACAGGCAATATACTCCCCTACCTTGATCATTATATAGATACATGTATAATCTACATCATCATGCACATATGCATTATTTAACTCCTTATAAGTAGGATTTTTTATGTAAGAAAAAAAGATTTTTGTTTACTTTTATCCTAAAAACTTATATTTTTGAAACCTCGTATCACAAAGCAAAATCGCTTAATTTGTGTATAGAAAGACATGGCCAGATTGTTTTTCCTATAGACTAGCAAATTTAAAGAGTGGGTTACATCCTCGTTACCCACTCCCTCAAAACTTACCACTAGATACGCTGACACGAATCACTTACTTGATTTGAACACAATATGTGTTACAATATTTTTTTGGCACAGTTATATGTAGTCTTGCAAACGGAACTTCAATTATGCTAATATTGCCAATCATACTTAGGGAAAAAAATAATATGTAAATTAGGTAGAGAAGCTTTTTCATAATGCAACATTTGGTTTTTTTTTCTATTGGTAAAGATTATTACAAGTAACTAGAAAGGGGAAATACGTATTACTGTGTATAAAGTTGTGTCAATTCTTAGTATACTAAACACCTCTTTTATTAATTAATCAATTTTTTTTATGTAAAAAGCCTCATTTTGTTTATAGGCTTTGTTGACACTAGCAAACGAAAAAAAAAAAATATTGGTAAAGATTTTCAGCTAACCATTTTTTTGTGTCTCTGAGATCGAATATCAGAGGAATTCTGATTAAGTTCTGTCTGTTATTTTTACACAAATTTAATCTTCCTTATATTTTTATTAGAAGTTTTTTTTTTTTTTTTTTTTTTTTTTTTTTTTTTTTTTTTTTTTTTTACCAGAAAATCAAAGATATATATGAGATCTAATTTTCTTAACAATTGTCCATTTTTTACACGCAGATTTATTTGGGTAGGGTTCGAAAACATTAATCTTTCTTGTAATTTCTGAAGAAAAAAAAAACGCTTGAGACTTTATTTTCATT